AATCGCTGGTCGATGATTGTTTCCTAGAATGATTGTGTTTTCTTCTTACAATGAAGGACCAAAATCGGATAACAAGGAACGTCGTTAAGATCGGCTACAAGAGAGAGGGGGGCTAACCTTTGAAAAGATAAACACAAAAGCTGATAGTTTTGTCGATTGAATAGACCAATGCGATATCGATTTATCGAATGATAAGGCACAATAAGATTCAAGATATGGGATGATAAAATAAAAAATGACATGTTTGTAGGAATACTCCCTTTTGGAATGTTTACTTTTTCTGGTTGTAAGTTCTTACCGAGTAAATTATCGACTAAGTGGAAGTGCAAAAGGGTCTTATAAAATATTTTGACGTATTGCCGGTTACCGGCCATAAAAGTTAAACTGCAAAAAAAAAAGAAGAAACAAATCAGCAATAGAATATCAGTTACGGCAAGCCACCCAACAGAAGAGAGCTAGAACCGGCTGCTTTAGCAAGCCCATAAGTTCCGTAAGCTATGGTCATACAAAGTGGGTTGTTGTTTGGCGGACTAACTAACAATACCCCTTTCCAAAGTGCTACCAGACTAAAGTTTGAGCTATTAAAAAAAAAAAAAACGACTAGCTCATAAAAACCGCGGTGATTATTTTACAAAAACGAACCAAAAAGTAGACAGGGAAAAAAGAAACAAGTTTTTTTTTTTTGTTATTTTTGAAAGTCATTAGGTATTTACGGAGAGTATATATATATCAGGGAAGTTCCAAGTGAGAATAGAGTGGGATAAGGGCAAATAGAGAATGAGGCTACATATAAGGTTTAGAAGAAACGGGAGTGGTAGAAATAAGTTGAAGAAATTCTGGAGACGAAAATATGGCAAGCATATTCGTTGCGATGATGATGAGAGTGATGAGAATATACAAATAAGTCGGATAACTTTGAGTGATAATAAGGAGGAGAAGGTATTTATTGATCATAACGAGTTTCCCGATGAACTACCCCCTAGTTATGACCAGGCAAATACATGTATTAATAGTTGTAATACTAGTAGTGATACTAGTAGTGATGCTGAAGTGAGAGGAAGAACGCGAGAAATACAGTATAAATCTAAATTATGTTCATTTTTACAACAACAGCAACAACTACATAGAAGAGAAACCAAATCAAATGCTGGCATTATGATAAAAGTTGGTTCTGAGATTAATAGTCCATTAATTAGTCAACGGATTATGAATCAAATATCTTCAAATAACCAATTTAATTATAGATTAGGGAAAATAATTTCCCTTATAAAATTATTATGTTTTATTTACTTAATATTTGTCATTTTAATTCATTTCTCTATTCAATCGAGTAATATTATCGAGTAATATTTCCATATTTAATTAATACAATATTATTTTAATGGCTAATGTAGTTGCAAAAATTGCTTGCTATATGGCTAAACGGTTACCGTTGCCGCACATCCGTACATTTTATATTTTTAGTTACCGGTTACCATTTTGCAATTTTTTTTGCCTTTTTTGTGGTTTGTCTTACTACATTTTTTTTTTTTTAATAGCAATAAATATATAAATTAATCTATAGAGAATTGAAATAAACTTGTAACTCGTAACGCATTAAATCATGAAGTCATAAACATAAATAAAGTATCATTTAAAAAACATGCTCCATTGAATAGATAGCATTATGTCTGATATGATGATGGTGATCAGATGGGTTATTAATTGATAAACTTGATTTATTTTTATTAAACTTCATATCTAAACATTCAATTGCTTCATCTTCATTATCTGATTCTTCACTTTCCGAATCCGTCACCGATAAACTTCTTGATAATTCGGGTAATTCAGTTGATTCTTCACGAATTGATGAAAGTGATAAATCTAAGGATTTTAATTGTTTGTATGATTGTACATGTTGTAAAGTAGCTTGTCCTTGTTCTTCTTCTTCTTCTTCTTCTTCTTCAGATGAGTAGTAATAATCATCGGAATCACTTTCGTAATCACTATCATCACTATCACTATCCGAATCCGAATCAGAATCAACTTCGTATTCACTAATATTAGCACTCAATGACGATGGTTGTCTTGGTCTATTATTAGGCAATTGAAATTGAACTTTCGAAGTAGCAGTTCTCTTTTCAGTCTCAGAATTTATATGATCCATTAAATTATCTAGCATATTTGCTTGAGTTACTAAAACTCTTAATGAACTATTTGGATTTTGTGCTTCTTTAGTTAATTTACTTCTTACTTTAGAAGCTAATATATACGATTGAGCAAATGTAAGTGGTTTAGAAGTATTCATCTTTGAATAAGTATTGCGAGTTGATGATAATTATTTTTGGTCATTTCATCAGGATATCAACTTGTCTTTATATGTTTGCAGTTAGTTGCATACGGTTGTTAAAACAATTAGTCATATCCGATACGCAGCCTTTTTGGTTCTAAATCGGTGAGTCCGATGATTTTTCGCATCGGGTGTATTTCTAATCGGATATTACAAATCGCACTCTGCTTACTATTGTTATTACTGTTTTTGCTCGCTCACTTTGTTTTCTTCTAAAAAAACTCGGATGATATATTTTTTTCAAACCTAATACCCTTAATACCCTCATACGATCCAGGGTATCCAACCATACGATTCCATATCTCTTATCCATTAAAGTTTGGATCCTGGCTGGAACACCTTGGATGTTTTTTTTTGCTTCCTCGTTGTTCTGACTCCAACTCTTCTTTGTGGGAATTTGCTTAAACCGTTCCGGCCGAACCTCCCATTTTGAATCTTCGGCTGGTGCTCTGCGGATATAATCTTACCGAACCCTCGGACATACCGACAGTTAAAGTAGTTTCTCCGGTGGGATTTGTAAGGCTGTATCACTTATCTTCAAAGGTCTAGATGTATGTACCGGTACTTGTAGTTTAACCAGACTAGTGTGAACTAGCCATCGTACATTGGTTGGACTACACTAGTTTCCCCAGTCTCCCCAGTCAGGCCATTCTCCACTAACTGGCCCATGCTGGTTAGTCTACTCAGTCTAGTGACCAGTGTCTCGGTCTCATCGATCGGCCGGGCTGCCTCATGCTGTTTACAGTTCTTACATTTTACGACAAGAATCAGACCCCAGATAATCGGTTACACTCGGAGTTTTCTGGTGGGTTTCTTTTTTCCAGTAGGCTTTTTTCTTCCCACGGTTCGGCCGAGCTTTCTTTGATCACTGGTTTTCATTTTTTGCAGCTGAGAATATTGTTGCTAAAGCTATGAGAAGTGTTGATTGCGGAGCTTATCACGGCTAGACTTTGAGTTGATTGCGGACCTACTTCAAAGATAAGTTTGCGAGCTTGGATTACTTGATATGCACTTTTGAAGTTTGCGAGCTTGGATTACTTGATAAGGTTGCACATTTGAAGTTTGCGAGCTTGGATTACTTGATAAGGTTGCACTTTTGAAGTTTGCGAGCTTGGAAGTTTGCGAGCTTGGAAGTTTGCGAAGCACTTTTGAAGTTTGCGAAGCACTTTTGAAG